ATCTTGTAATGTGAGTTTCAAAACTTCACACAACTGATATCAGAGGATAAGAAGAGGTTAGGGATTTTCAGTAGGAAGATTCTTCATGTTGTATCATAGCTAATGAAGCTACCTGTGAGGGTTACTATCTGCAGAGAGGACATCTTGGCTCCATTTTTTTTTCACATTCAGGCAGTGCAGTGCAGTGTTCTTTCAGTAGCTTCCAGCAGCTCACTTATCCTCATTTAGTGAAGTTACTTATGCCAGTGTGACTGACTTCAAAACTAGGTCTGGGAAATGGTACATTTAAAATATGTAAATAAAATATATTCAAATTTCAGTAGGACCAATCCATTTTGTGGCACTGCTTTAGAGTGCAGTCATGCCAATAGTTGAATTATGCAGGATATGAATTTCTGCCAAAGGGCTGCATCTCTGAAGGATGGAACTAAGGGGCATACAATACTAGATGTCCTTTTGGAGATGACAAGAAATCACAGTCCGAAAATATGGGATCTCTTTAGTTTTAAAAAAGTAATATTGTCATTTTTGCAGACTCCTCAGTATTTTCTACCACTACAGTGAAGGAACTAGTCTCTGTCTTAGGTATTTCTAGTGTTTCCTACAAGTGTTTTACGTGCATATTTTTTGATATACTACATGTCATGAATGATTTGAACAAGTTATACCTAAACTTTTTTTTAATGTTTTGCACAGTGAAAGAAAGGATGTAAAAAAAGGAAGGATCTTATTCTTTTAGCATCTGATCAAAGACCTTTTACAAGTTGTAGGAAGTCACAATTGGTTTCAGTGAATGTTCAATCAAGCTCCAAACCAATGAACTCATGTTCATCCATGCAGACCTTGAAATATTCTAACCAAGTGGATAGAAAGCTTTTCCAGAGGATTCCAGCTATCATGTGACTCAGTCTGGTTCCTAACTCTGCATAGGTCCCTCAGCAGTATAACTGCTTTCACCTTCTTCTTAGCTTTGCAATAGCCTGAAGCAACAAAAATTCCCTCCCCTCTTTGTGCTTTGCTGTGTATATTTTTGATAACAGACATACTTCAACTGGCACTGAAGTCTATCTAAATAGGAATGTTCTGTGGTTCTTTTGTTGCTGCTGTTCTTGTTTTGTGTCGGAGATATGTTTTGTTGATTTAAGACATTTCTGCAATTTCAGAGACTTTCACCGGTGCACTTGGTATTCAGAAGCAGCTGGATTTTTTGTATCTAAACTTCCCAAATGGGATTTATTCCGCAAACTCTTTCCAGAATATACTTGATTTAAAATACATATATATGTGTGTCTTTTGATATTTACTTGTGCTGTCGTCTTGTTTTCCTGATATTTTTAGTACAGAATAAAAGCTTGAAAACATATGCATAAAGCAAGTGGTTTTAACACATTTCAAAAAGAAGACCAGGGGGTAAGAGACAAAGGCATATCAAAACATAGACCTGCGGGGCATCTAGAATCAAATGTAGATCATTAGTTTCATGCTGCAGCATGCAGAGAAATCTCAGAATTCAATCCAGATGTAAGTGAACACATGGAAATAATTTCTGTGAAAATGCAAAATCATGAAATGTTGTATTGCCCAACACTATTTCAATATTTTCACCATTTCAGTGACTCCTGCACTGTCAGTTTCTCAGCCAGGCTAAACTGCCTAGAAAAAGGAGGCCCTCCTGAGCTTTTCTTTATTCTGTGTGATGATATTGTGATCAGATGTTGGCACTCTGAGAAGTGGTCTGACCCCCATGTCTTAATGATAATCCGCACCCATAGGAGAGGAATGTTTTAATTATTGCCAGCTAACTGAAAATCCTCCACAAGATGAAAGTGGAAGAATAATTTGTTTACATAAACCAAACCATAGATAACAAAGTTAATAGGTACAGAGAGAAGCCAAAAGAAATACAAACAACCCCTTTGCACCTACCTGTATTTTAGCTCAACTTCTGCTAGCAAAGAGTCAGAATACTTTGTCTGGGATCCAAGTGTCAGACAAAAAAACCTGCTCTGGATTTAAACTCCGTTTAGAGGTTACCTCTATCTGACAGATGCCCAGGCTCTTCTTAGAATTCTGTTTAGATTCAGATAGTCTCTCTTCATGTTATCTTTTAATGCAACAGTTTCTTAGAGGTGTGAGAATCCTTCTTTAGTTTTTTTTGGCTCAAAGCTTGCTTCCTGAGGTTTTTCTTGTGATAAGACTCTGAGTGACTTGTCAAGGAGGCAACTGATGGGTGCTAACTGTGTGACAATCGATATCGCTTTGGGAACATTTGCAAGCCCCTTCCCCCAGAGCTGCTTGCTCTGTAGAAGAGCTCAGGAGTGTTCACTGGCAGAAGATCTGGCCTGTGGCCAAACCGCTCCAGCTAAGTATGGAAGGCTGGGGGATGATACCATTGTATCTTGCGAAGGCAAGATGCAAGTTGGTGCCTCCCTGCTTCCTCTTATCTGCTGGCAAGGCCAGAAAGATAAGAACAAAGGAGGTTCCTGCTGAGATCCCAGAGCCAGAAGCTGCCACCGCAAGGAGAACTGACTCAACCACCTTGGGTTTGATCTGTCACTCAAAGGAGAGCTGATTCGACCACTTTGGATCTGAGCTGTCACTCCAAAAACAGCTGACTCACACTTTGAAGTATTGAAAAAGAGCCATCATCACCATGGTCGTCGTCGTCGTTGGCAACAGGACAACAATGCCTGATGACCCACCACTACTGAGGATCAAAGACGGAACTACGAACCACGCTGGATCCATGGTGATGACTATGTCCCTCTTGCTTCCTATAAAGACTCCTTGCTTCTTCTTTTCTATCTTTTCTATCGCCCTCCTTCCCTTCCCCCATTACCCTAATTCATAATAGTGTCCGTCCTTCCCTTCCCCATTTCCCTGATTAAGATTTGTAATAAACTGGTCAGACCAACATTTGAACCGTAGCTTCTTAATCTCACACCGGGTATATAGATAATAAAAGAACCTCCTCTCCCTCCTATAAATTGGAGCGAGACAAGAGGTCAGCTCTAATATTTCTCATACAGGACTAGTGCCATATTGTGCATTCCATACTGTATGGTGTCATACAGTACAATAAAATAGGGGGCAGTTAGCTGGCAGTTACTGCCCAAGGAGTGGCTAGGCATCAGTCAGCAGGCAGTGAGTAATCACATTTTGCTTTGCCTGTTTTGTGTATATATAATCTATGATTATTTTCCCTTTTCTATCCTTGAAAAATGTCTACATCTCAGCCCACAAGTTTACTTTCTTTTTTCCAGTTCTCTCCTCTATTCCACTTTGGAGGAGAAGGTGAACAGCTGTGTGGTACTTATCTGCCTATGTATCCTTGTAAACAAACACTTTCAATACTGAGAACAGACCAGAAGCTTAGTGCGTCAACATGTCAATAATCAGTGTCTTCGGTGAGGCAGTGGATTCGAGATCAAGGATCTTCAAGCCTTGAGAGACACCACTGTAAGTTGCTTTCTGAACCCACTGGTAAAAAGGAATGGAGAGGACCAACTTTTTAGGTGCTGCGTGTATGCAGAGAAACATCATTACTAATGGCAGATAAAGAGTTGTTGCTCTGTTTAAACATACCCAGGATAAAATTAGATTCTGCGTAGTTAAGGGAGTGGGAGCATTGCTTCCAATGCTGCTGAGGAGCAGGGGCTGTAGAAAGTCTGGTGTTTTTTTTGTTTGGTTGGTTGGTTTTGTGGTGTTTTTTTTGTTGTTGTTGTTGTTGTTTGATACCATGTGAATTTATTGAATTATTCAGCAGTCTAATGTAATCTCCATCCAGCTGGTCTAAAACCCATGCACTGGTTGTCCAACGTGAAGGAGGTAGCCACCACTGTACCACAGTATGTAAAGGTCTCTTACTGAAAGTATGTAGATTAGAGGTCAAAATGAAACCTGACTATGGAGACCCTGGATTGCTCCTTTGTAATAAAATTGCTTCTTTCATGTAACATTACAGCTCAGAACAAAACACAAATGTATTTGAATTAGTAGATCTGATCTTAATCATCATATATAATTTCACTTTTTCAGAGGAACTGCAACTTAGTGGAACTCTTCTAGTGAGAGAAGTAAATGAAAGATAACACCTATATTAACTTTAGTTGTATATCTTGACTCTGGTTGTATATCTATACTGTTTTCCAATTTTTTTACATCCGTACATACATAAAAAATTGAGAGCTCTTTAAAACTACATGTTCCATGCTGGTTTTTTGGTTTTTGTTTTAATTTTCTCCTTTGCTCTTCTTCAGACCGTAGATCCAGTTCTTAGATGCTGTCAGTGAAAGCCCAGCTCCACTGAGGACTGCAGCAGATATTCTATCAATTTCAATGAAGCCACAATTTTGCCCTGAATTTACAAAGTTGTCATGGTTTTGTGATTTTGGTTATCGGTGTTCCACATCACAGCATCATGTAGTGAACCGGGAGTTAAAGTGGTAATGCTCAATAGCATTCAATTCTGATTATATTGTATTATGGTGTGCTATCTTGCATTCCAATACCATATTTAGTAAATTAGTTTGTTTCTCCTCAGATTGTTGCCGCTGTTTTTAATTATTTCGGGGTCCTGTTAACCTTTTGCAGAGGCATGGATTCACAAAATCCCTCCGCCCTGCTGGTCATGGAACTGGACCAAACCAGCCTGTAAACCGTTGACAGAAGTGGTGGAGCACTACAAGACCATGTGTGCCATAATGCACACCCTAAATGCCAGTGGTCTTTTTTCAGGGTGCTAAGAATTTAACAAGGACAATTAATTGCACATGACACCTTCTCTCTACAAATAATTTGGTATGGATTACTGTGCATTTCAGAAAGTAGTACTGTCCTATCACTTCTAAGTTGGTCTAGGTACAAATCTTCTCACTGAAACTTGGAGAGTCTGTAGTCAACACTACTGATATGTTTGAGATCTGAACACTGTTGTAGTCACACAGACTGGAAATTGTGAGAAACACGCTCAAGATCAAAAATTTCTGATCAGGCAAAAATCTCTGTGAAGAGCAGTTTATTCATTATTGCAATAATGGGTGCAACCTCCTACTAACGGGAGGAATTGCAAATCTGATCACTGGAATCTATTCTGTTACATACGCCGGGTCCGACACAGGTAAAGCCTCTCCTGGCACTCATTGGTTGAGCGTCTCAGGCTCACAATCTTTTGCTGTTGCTACATCACTCTTCCATACAATGTCTGTCACCAACCCATTGTTTTTGGGTACGTTCCGTACTTTGTACAGTGATAGAAGGACAATATTTTCAACAATCCAATTACCTAGTGCCAATTTTACCTAGGTCAGAACACCCCAGTCTCAACTTTACTCTGTTCAGCAACTTTCTTTGTGAAAGGCGAAGTGTCCTGTGCTATGTACAGAAATACTGGAAGTTTCCACTGCAAAAACACAATCTACTTCTCACAGAATTCTGGAGAAAAGCATGGATCTGTAACAGTGGCACTGATTGCAAGCAATTTAGTAAGATAAAGGAAGTAGATGTAGATGCATCATAGCTGACTCATTTAAGACTAGGGTTCTTCTCTTGAGTGTAATGCAATTATCCAAAATCACAGACCTTCTTGTGGGTACATTCAAACCAGACTGCTTTTCATAAGAGACTCAGCTCATTGACTGTGCTGGATGTCTTTTGTCACCATATCAAAATGTATTTTTGTTTCATTCACTGGATTAAAGGAGGTTACTTAATATAGTGACTTAATAGAGGAGGGAGATACTCTAAAGGTGTAGTTCTCCTTACAGTCAAAAGATGGTAGTACAATTTCTATTCCAAACAGCTCAGCAACACAGGGTAGTTGCCATGCATCCATTGTTTGTGTTTATGCAAGGGATGAAGAGAATCCATAAAACTGTGTCTTTTAGCCCTCCACAAAAGAAGGGTAGAAGTCCATACTTGGGATCACAACAACCAGCTGTTTATCTGGCAGTGGTTATGATCTCCCAGCCCCAAGGACACGAAGAAGTGCTCCTGCAGGGGGCTGCTATGAGACCCCCAGCCCTTTGCACCGCGGCTGGAGCCGTGGCCCAGCACCAGACTCCTTCATTTTGTAGCTGATTTTGGTTTTATGTTTTTGTTTTATTTTTTGGGGGGAGGGTTTTGCTACTGGTTTTGTTTTGGATATTGTTAATCGGTAATTCTGAATATGGTCCTGATAGCCAGGTTTAATTAGCTTTAGTGCAGGTATGGAGTCAGCTGGTACCAGAATGGACATGTGTAGTGAAGGCTTTAATTAAGGTCTATGGATCCGGGAGAGTATGAACTGAAAATGTCCTCATCATCCTCCGTCTTGCTTTCAATGAGGTCTAAAAGAAGCAACTGATAAAGTTAAAGCAACAGGATTAATTAGGTCTAAGTATTTACTAGATAATATTAATTTGAAATTATTTTATGGTGTGGTGCAAGTCGTTCATAGCAAGAAAACGATGCCTATGTGGAAAACTATACTAGAGTTCCCTTAATTAAAAAGGGGTAAACACGCTGTGCACTAAGTGCCCAAACAGACGTTGATGACAGGCAGTTAGCTGAGAACTGTGGGCTTTTCCCTACTAATTTTGTTTTGTGGAAATCCAAATCAAGTAAGGTGCTGACACTAAAGAAAAGAAACTATTTACTTGCTTTACTCGCAAGTCAACAACGAAATTTAAATCCCATTTTGTCTGTAATAAGTTATGTTAAATTAATTGCTTGCTTGGCTACACTGCTGATTGTAGCAGTACTTGGAAAGCTTATTTGACACAAGAGATAGATAATGTTTGAATCACTTGTGATATTGTATCCCTAGAAAAGAAATGCTTAGATGCACGTGGTACTACATCTGAGCTGAGAAAGCTGGAACTTGGCAGTACTCAGTGAATGCAGGAACTGGGAAGAATTTTTGAATCGGATGGGGTTCCTCTGTACACCCTGAGATGCTACTGTGAATTTGCTTAGAAATAAGACTAACAACTTGAAGTGTTGTGATACAGATGTAATGCTTTTAGGTATGGAATATTTACTTGAAGAATTCCAGTTCTGCACTACAATACTGTGAGTATTGCATTCAGTCCCAACACATGAAGCTCAGAATTAACTACCCTGGGGGGGTCGGTGAGAAACGTTAATGCTCAGCATAGAAATAGCCAATAGAAAACAGTGAGCACAGGATTTCATCCTTGCTTTTAAGAGCAAAAGCATTGCTGAAAGTCACCTATTGATGTTTTTCAACTCAGGATTCCCATTTGAATGTCATCTGTTGTGACAGGACTGTATTCAGAGGCCAAAACAAGTAGTGATATTTTTCAGTTCTCAGGCTTCGTAATGAAGGATATATTGCTGGAAATGCTCATCCAGGTGTGAGAGCATTATGCTGCAAAACCAAGGAGTTGTTTTCTATTCTGTGGTTTCAATGTCAGCCTAAGAACAGGAGAGAGTTTATAACTCCTAGAGTTAAAAGATTAGTTTCAGGCACTGGGATTATTTGAGATCTGTCTAAATCAATCTCTAAGTTATGTAGGGAAAATGACAGCAGGAAAATGCTCACACCTTTGATTCCTTCTCACCAAGCTCTAACTTTCAGAAATCAAAGAACAATTTGTGCATGGAAGATGACTTCTGTAAAGTCTAAAGGAGAGAAATGATGCCCATGCAGACTCAATTAAGCAAAAGAGCTTAAATTAATGATCTCTTATTCTTCTAGCTCCTGGTCTGAAAAGGATTAAATGCTGGGTAGACCCTTGCAAATGGCATGGTGTACAGTGTACAGTGCTCACTAGATATAATCTCATTAAAGCATTTCCAGATGTGTTTGAAATCCTGAATGGATGTAAAATGCAGAACCTGCAACAGTGGAAGAGTCTTAGATGAGGTGAAAATTGTGAGACAGCTAAGAAGCTCTGCTCTGCCTCTTAGATGTGGTGATCTCTGAGTATGAGACAACTTCAACAGTTCTTTTTTTGTCTTCTGAACTTCTGGTCATAGATACAATCCAGAGAAAGAAGGAAACTTGGACAGTTTTCTGACTGAACTAGGAATCCTCTCCTGTGGAATCTTGCAGAATTGTTTCCCACTTTTCAATTATAATGTTAATGGTTATGTATCTGCTTTTCCTGACTCTCTAGATAAAGTAGTGAAGCATGGATGGACACTAGAACTCTACAATTTCAAGTGGTAAATGGCAAATCTTACTCTTCTGTTTGTTGTTACCTTAATGTAGCTTCCTCTACTTGAGCTGTATGAACTCAGTGCAGCTTCTTTCTACTGTATCCACTCTGTGCCTACAAATCAGATCAAGATCACTAGCTAACATACTGCTCTTGATGTTGCGTGGCTTTAAAAAAATAAATCAGTGTAAAACATTCAATTCCATATTTAATTTGCAAATTTAATTTGCAAAAAATGAGTACAGAAAGAATCAAGTAAAACAGTGTGAAGTGGCAATAGTTGGGATTGGAACCTTTTGTCTGGTCCAGTGATCTAAGCATTTTGGATTGAAAAGGGAAATATTATCCTGAAGTCTTTGGTTAGAAACTCTGGATCCATCACCCTGTGGAGCAAAGAAAACCATCAGGTTGCAAGCAAATAGTAGAACTATAAGGCTGTTTTAGGCACAAGGCAAGAAAATCTTGCACCAAGAACAAAAAAATCAGAGAACCCTAATTATTGGCATTCTGATATAATACTACTTGATCCAGTACGGGAAGTCCATTGTCAAATATTTCTTGGGGAAAAAAAAGTAAAATCTAAAAATTGGGAGAATTATGGACTTTGTATTGGAAAAAAAGCAAAACATCCTGAGTTCAGGGCTCAAATGTTGAGTTTGTACTTAAACCTTATGCAGGTGTCTTGAATTTTCTATGTCATTCAGCTCCCTTGGGAATAGGCTGACTTGTTTTTAGGTAATCAAGGTTTTTTGTTTTTTTTTTTGAGAGGAAGAGCCTTGTTGGGGGATGGAATTTTGCATGTTATGCTGTCACAACATGTAATTTCACACAGTAGTCTTTGTTCCACTCTCCGGGCAGTTGAACATTATCACTGCATCTCACCCTAGGGAGTGAGTAATTCACATGCACTCGTATCACAAAAACCTTGGGGATTGCTGGTTTTTAATTGGCCCTTAATGAAGCCTGCCAGATCAGTTTACACTACTTGTCACTATTTGCTGGCCTGGCTGCCGGAGCCTTGGCCATGATTTCTGCTTCTAAAACAAGGAAAAAATAGGCCTGCAGCTGTTGATTGAAATTGAAATCCATGAGGAACTCAGACAGAAATCCACCTTTGATGTGTATCCTGTGTGTTCTAGGCTGGATGAAATCAGATTCATTTTAACCCCCATGATGACCATTTCCGTGGCTGAACTCAGGCAAGATCCGTGCAGGGACTGAGATCAGATGCAGGACCTACCAGCTCTCAGGAGTAAGATAGTGTTCATGAACCCATGATCTGGAAAAGTCCCACAATAGAATGAAACTTCTTGCACAGTTCTGCAGCTTTTTAATGACCATGCACAGAGCAAGAGCGTCTCTGTTACTGCACTCAACTCCCCAGCATTGCAGGTTTATGAAGCAGTGTGCAGATCGCTGCCAGCTCAAGATGTATCTGTTCCCATGCTGTAGATGTGGCCTCAAGTACTTGGCAGTCACTGTAGCACTTCAGGAAGAAACATAAGAAATATAAGACTTTGAAACCCGCTAGGTGTCTGGAGATGTTCACAGCAGCAAAAGAGAATCTCTTTTGACTGTACACATCTGAACCAGCACAGAAGACACTGTGCCTGTCTTCTCTAAAAGCAGTTATTCCCAGGTCATAAAGCACCTTTTGAAACCCCCCAAAATTGCTTTTACCATCAGGGATGTACTCTTGGCTCTACTCTTGATGAACAGCCAATATCTGAAGCAGACACACGACTTTCTGTTAGTGCTTTAACCAACAGTCCAGCTGCACAGTCTTTGTTCCCTCCTTCACTTGCTTCATTATTTGCTAATAACAGGACAGCAGCTTCAGAAAGTTTCCTATCTTAGAATAACCTGGAAAGATCTCATTTTAAAAAAAGAATGTTGGTTACATTTTCATCTGAATGCTGGGAGAGTTGAATATTTAAGTATTGAAGTTCCCTCCTGTCTATTTGCCCATCAGCCTTTGTGAGGAGTACATGAAGGCATAGGCAGTGAATTCAAGATAATGGATACCTTTGAACGCCATTGGAGCAAGCAGGAGATACTTGTAACCCAGATGAGGATACTAAGTTCATGGAGAGATGTTAAGATTTCTTGGCATTCCCCATTATCTACATTACACAGCTCTCTGCTAATGCGGTGGCCTTTGTGTGTGGTTTCTATGAATTGCTTAAGCACAAAACTCCTGAGAAGGGGATCTGCAGCTGGTAGGTATGGTTAGAAACCAACACCCTGACAATCCTGCCTGTTTCTTTGTTAATCCGTCTCACCCTTTTTTTTTCTGCTAAAAATTTTTCCCCATCCAAATCATGTCAGTGCAAGAAAACAGAAAGAAGGCACTATAGGAGGATTATGGGAGGAAAGAAACTGCAGTATGAAAAGTAGTACAAATCTGGTAAATGGTCAATATTCTGGAATTAAATGTAGCTTATCTATGTAAAAGCCTAGCATGAAGTGTATTGAGGCGGCATGTGCAAAAAAAGAATGTAATATTGTACAATGTTTCTATTCACACTTCTCTCTACCTTTGAACAAGGCCATCTGTAATATTGTGTTACTAATATATTTTTTCATAGGGCTAATGTAACGACATGGGAAAAGGTATAGGAAATGTATAATAAATACTGCTGGTATACCATTTTGGACAACCCCTGGAAGTCTGCCTTTCTGAGCTGTAGGATTGCTAGAATGTTCATTGGCATATGCCAAACAATGTCCTGGTCATAATACCTCAATTACATGTTTTCTGAGCCTATTCTCTGAGAGACTGTTATTGAGCATGCTGAGATATCCAGAGAAGCTTGTACTCCTGGTGTGAGCTAACTGTGCTGGAAGGAAATTCAACAGCAAGTTCACTAGTTATAGCTGCATCTCTGCGGGGCTGAGTCCTGCTGTATATGCAGATCTGTCTTTTGTTAGTCTAACTGCCTTCACAGCAGTATCCCAGCCAAGTCACTTAGTGAGATCAGAAATCTGTGTAACTTGAAATCCCCAGGTAGCTAAAGACAGAATTTAGGGTAAGAAATGTAAGTGCTGCAAAGTTCCTTCTTAGGCTAACTTACTGGAACTGCACTGGTAGTAGTGAGATGCTGACTTATGCCCCTAATGCCTTTACACCCTATGTATGCTTGAAGAAGCAGCAAGCGATCATGAATTGAATATTCGCATAGTTAAGTGGGGATGGATTTCCTCCATACTAAGCTGACAAGATGTTACTTAACTTGGCCTAAAAATCATATAACCATGTCAGCTGTTATTGTGCTTAAGTTGATAATCCATGCTGGGAGAATTGGTGCAGCTATGAGAATTAGTTGAGCTTTCTCATTTTGTGTTAAATGTTTGCCTTAAAAGAAAAAAAAGTTCATTTCTTTACCATCTTTTGTTATCATATTCATTTCTCAGTTTGTCCCTCTTATCTTTGTACAGTGTACTCTCTGAAGTTCAATGTTTTACATAGCAAAATACCAGAATAACATGAATTTAGGTGTCAGCTTAGCTATTTCTAATCTGATCATGGAGTCTTTTCGTTTTATTGCTTTTCTTTTGAGTATGCTATCTTTCCTAGGACACTAAATCAGTGTTTCGGTACACATTGTCTAATTACTATGTAATTTGTGTGTAAAATTAATTCAGAAGCTGATGAAAGTATATAACTTTTTTTTTTAAGAAATCAAAATATCATTTGTAATACACTGTAGTTGGTGTGTCCTCTGGATAGAAGGTGAGAAGCGGGGTTCAAAGATCTGATAGGCCTGACTCCTGACTAGATATGCAGTAAATCATAAAAATTTCAACCATGCAAGGTGCAGAGAATGTTCTGGTGATGGTGAACTTTCACAAACCCGGTTTAAGTTAACCATTACTCCAAACTCCTTTGCTTTTCTCAGGAAAGAAGAGAAAATGTTTAGTACTCTCACATCTTCACTGAACACTTGAGTTTCACAGATAGAAAGGATGAACACATAATCTGTGTGCATTGCCTCTGGCAAAGACAGTTAACTGTCAGCATGATTCTTAAAGGGGGTGTTCTGCATATATTTGGGCTTTCAAAGCAATTCATTGAGGAGTTTTCTTTTTTAACTTACAAGTAAACTTTTCCAAGTTAGAGAAATCCCATCACAGAGGGCTTGGCTTAAAGAATGTGCCACTTACTTGTGTCACTGGCACCTTTTTTGTGAAACCCTGGACTTGGTTCTTAAATAGCTGCTTGGAGAAGCAAAATCCCAATCAACACCTTGCCTTCAGGCAGCATGAATCGTTCTCATACACAAGGCAGGAATGTAAAATCTGTGTGGTTTTAAACAATGCTTCCTGCCTATGTTGCCCATCTACAGTGAATACCCCTTTGCACAGTGCAGCGCAGGGGGATCTTAAAGATTTTGGGAAATATTCTGTAGGCAGGCTGTTTACTCGTTTGTCTTTTGGGGACATACAGAGGAGATCAGTGCCCACGTATATTAACGCACGTTATGCTAATAGAAGTTGTGAGATCAACAGGTCTGCAGAGATAGTGAGCCACTGAGACTCAACACACAAGGTAGAATTTTATTCATGTTTCCTGTCTTAGTTTCAGCTGAGATGGAATTGTTTTTTTCAGACTGGTGTAATGCTATGTTTTGGCTCTAGGAGAAAAACAATGTTGATAATGCACTGATATTTATAGTTGCTGTGAAGCAGTGTTGTACAGAGCCAAGGCCATTCTCAGCAAAGGGCCCAAGGAGCTGGGAGGGAACAGAACTAGAAGAGCTGACTGAAACTGTCCAAAGGGATATTCTGTGCCATATGACATTGTGCAGAAGGAGTTTTGAAGGTGGTGGCAGCTCACTGAGCTCTCTGAGCTCAAGGGGCTAACTGGGTATTGATCAGGGGGTGGTGACCAATTGCTTGTGCATCACTTGTCATACACATTCATAATTATATGTGTATGTACATAAAAATATATATAAATTCATAATTCTTTTCCTTTTCTCTATCTTAGAAAAAAGGTTTATCTCAACCCACGAGTTCTACTCTTTTTTTTTTTTTTTTTTTTTTTTCCCTGAATCTCTACTTCATCCCACTGGGAGGTGAAGGAAATGAGCAAGTGACTACGTGGTGCCTAGCACCTGCCAGGTTAAACTTGCCCAGCAATATTCTTCAAACTCAAGTCATATTCTTTGTGTAAGTAAGTGTTCTGATTTCTTAACCATTTGACTTGTGATGCCTCCTACCAATAAAAAAGCTGTTTACAGGCATAGCTGGCAGGAAGGCACATCCCCTACCACAGGGGCCACTAACCATCTGTTACATGACCACCATGTCGTGTTATTCCCAGCCACGCAGCTTTTCAACTGCTGACTTAGAGGGCGAGCTCTTCTCAGCCTGCACAGCCCTAGGACTATCTCCCACATAGGATCTGATAGATCTGCTCTCCCTGCTGTGGTTGTGGATAGGTTTGTCTCCTCTCAGCTGAAAGGAAAGCCATGTGAACAGCAATTTGCCTTCTCTGCTTCTGCTCTGATGCACGCTATGCCTCACTGACTCTTACAGCTCCTTTCAGGCACTTCCTCAAGTTTTAATGTGGCACCATTTCATAATGTGTAATAAGCAATGGTGAGGCTGATGCTTCATTTTTGAACAGAGTAGACATAGCAAGATCCTTGTTGCTGGAAGAATAAGCTGAAAAATTCCTTTGCACTTCAATATGCAATATTGATTGCTGTCCTGAGACCTGATGTCAGCTGATGTCTTCCTTCCTCCTCACTTCCCACAAATACAAAATAAATGGATCTCGTTTACTGGAATTCAGAAGGTTTTTTTGTTTTTGTTTGTTTTTGTTTTTGTGAGTGGTTCTCTGACAGTGCCCCCCGCCCTCTCATCTAATCTGCAATATAATTTGTGCTGTATTTTACATTTAGATAAAATTTTTAGGTAATTAAGTTTCTTGCCCCTAAGACAAATCCGCTCCAATTTTATAGTGAGAACTTCGGCATCACCTTATTATGACAAAGAATCTAGGCCATATACATTACATAAGGTTGCCATAGTAACACTTTCTCCAAGGGGAAAACCGAGCAGCAGTTGTTTCCACAGAAACCACTCCCCGCTGAGACAGGTGCCTCCGGGGGCACTGAAGAGAATATAAATGAGAGAGAGGCACACACAGATGTCGAAAGATCTCTGCAGTGTTCCTGCGTAGTTGCAAATCCAGCTATCCATTTCTGGGTTGATTTTCAATTCGTTGGTTTGGACCATGTGACTGGCACCTTCTCTTGGCACGTAAACTCTGCCTGCCCCTTCCTTCCTTGGATCTGGTTGTGCGGATGGAGGTATGGAAATGCTCCATGTTGGCAGGGAAGTGACCGCATCTGATAAGAAAGTCCAGAGCTATAGGAGCCACAGTGCGTGGAAGGATTTAAATGGTAAATGGGAATTTCCCCTTTTTATTAACTCTGCTTTTCTGAAAGAAGTCAGCAAGGACAGGTATGGACATAATTCCTTCCGAAGAGGAGTCTTGGCTAATTTGTCAGATAATGATTTTGTTCTTTTGGGGTACAAGGACGTGCAGCTTGGCGAAATGTATGATTTAAAGGTCAGGGTGTCTTGAAAAGGAATTAAGTCCTAGGATTTGTTAATTGACAAAAAAGGAGCTTTTTTAATGTACTTCAGTGTCACTGAAGGCAAGTATGGATTCATATTTCTGAAATCCTTTTGCATGTTTATTTACAAGTAGTGTTGATCAGTTTTTTTTTTTTTTTTTTTTTTTCCTGCAAGAGCAATAAAATGATGACATACATTTAAGGCTTAATGTGGCCATAGCTACAGATTAACGTACTGGCTACTTCATCTTCATCCTGTCATCTCTGTGCTGCTTTATGAGGAAAGCAGGCTGATATGGTCATTAAATCTGGCAGCTGTGTTGTATGCGCATGGGAAGCAAGCAGAGCACAGCATGTAGAAAATGAGTAGCTTTCAGATATCAGCCTTCCTTTCGTTGCTACGAGACTTGAAAGGCAGACTAAAAAACTCTCCTTCTTGTAATCACCAGTTGCTGGAATGGTGTGCAAGTATTAAAAATACTGAGGCAAATGTAAGTATTCTTTTCCTGTGCAGTGCTTTGATTGCTAATTGGGATTTCTACCTTTGTGTTCAGCTTGGAAAAGCAGAGGGATGAAAGCTGAAAACATCCTGATAGTGAACGCTTCTCTGCGGTATTGTTTTGGCTTTCAGTGGAGAGTGCTGAGAAAAAGGGATGAATGAAAGCTTTCCGGAAGAAACAGTTTGCAGTTATGTTTGTTGATCTGGGGGAGTCTGCTTGCCACTTTGTGAGTGGAGAAGCCTCGTAAATGCAGGAGGTGCTTCTAGATAGATTGCTTTCAGCTTATGTTAGGTAATACTAGATACGCAGTGAGAAAGAAACTTCAACATTAATAAGCTTCTTGTGAACATGCAGGAGAGAAATCTACGATGGTATTTTTCACATTGAATCATTAAAAATTCATACATGCAGAACCAGACTTCTTATTAGGAATCTCAGCAGTACCTCATTATTGGAAACGCAAACAAATAATCATCGTAAGGGGCACAAATCTGACCTGCTAAGAACAATGAGCATACCGCGGTGAGCAGTGCATGTTTTTAACCCATTTTACTCTGTTTACACGTGAAGAGAACGTTTATCTGAGGTGGTTGGGAAGGAACGGAGTTGCAGGTTTCTTAGTGCTGTGGCAATACCATAATGAAAAGAATCAGCATTTGAGGTTTTTTTTTCTCTTGCTAAGGAAGAAACAGTATCATTCCCTTCTGATTCAAAATTTCTGTGGTACCGTTGTCCCATGGAGTTTACGAGTAATGAATTCTTAAGCTGTGAATTAAATCTGCTTTTTGAAAACCAGCATACAAGTATGCATATCAGGTAATTGCATGAGAAATACAGGATGCAGCTTTGTTCATGTTGCCATGTCGTGTTTCTTGCTTTGTTTACATGATTTGTTATTTCTTAGGCATACTGTAGGCTTTTTGTGAGCCTTGTGAAAAATGCATTGTAACAGGTAACAGGTGACATTAAGCAAATAGAGAGAGAATTGTTCTTTGTAAGGAAAGGACTAAATGTATTCACAGTACTACTACTGTGTCCCTAATGCTGTTGTAACACAGGTTACATGTTTTGCTTACCTGTTGTCTTGAAGCTATACTTTAGCTTCATTTTGCAGACGTATACCTAGAAATGCTTATCTTCATTGTCACAACTGAAAAGAGGTTTTGGAACTTCTCTTCCTCTCGTCTCCCTTTTTCCTCATACACAGGAGGAAAAAAAAAAAATCAGAAATTCGTATTTTCTATGAAACTAAGCTGTGTAAATGGTAATTTCTGATGACAGCTGTGGAGCTGGTTTTCCTGAGCCTGAGTGGCAGCTAGCCAACTGCTGAGGCACGCGGTGACCTTTCAGGACAATGTCTCTCACAGAAATATCAAAATGTTAAAATGGCAGACGTCAAATGCCATGTGCGTAGGAAAAGGAAGGCTTCAGCTGAAGGCAGTTAATCTACTTCTTGCCTGGATTAAACATTGAAAGCTGCTTCCTAAATCTGTACACAAGAAAGAATTCATATGTGTCCTGAATAATTTCAAAAGTTCTTCTGTAAAGATCTGGGGATGGATACACATTTTCAGAGCTGTTTCATTGAAGATCTGCTCTGGAGTGTCCAGACAGATGTCCAAAAAAGCAGCATCTTTGCCTTTTCTTCTGCACTTTGCATCAAATACTAGCTTTCCTCCCAAATCTCTCATCCACAATGTAAATTGATTTTGATCAAAACTAATCATTGCTTGTTGATGGGCAGCAGGATGCTGAAATTCTGATAGCATGTGCAGTGACTTTTAGGCATGTGCATACTGAATATTAAACAGTCTCCTGCAGTGCTTGGTGCTACAGCCCTGAGCTGAAACCTCATTTGTAATTACATGCACTGATGCTTTGTAGCTTACTTTGAAGGCACTGAAGTCTGACCGTTCCCATGCTCGGTTGTGTCTCAGCTTCTTGCTCTGTAAACAGCACAGAATTAGATCAGCGATGCTTATTGCCAACACTATTGGTTCTCTCCCTGCCAGATATTTCTGAGAGGTGTGAAACTGCCTCATCCTTTACCTCAGTGTGTATCACAACAGTATGTGTGGCTGATCAGGAAACTAACCTGTTTACCTTTTGGTTGACCTCAGAGAGTAAGAAAGGGCATACCTGTGGCCAGCCTTGTCTGGGCAGTTTGCAACTGGCTACAGTTCAAAAAATTCTTAGTGTTCTCCAACCAAGGCACAGGCTGCACTGCTAGCACAGGTCAGAACAGTCAAACTGACTGCAAAACAGTCAACAGCCAGACCACACAAATTCATTGATTTTTTCCGGTGTTCCTTTATTTCTCCTTTATTTTCAAAACAGTTTTATTGTCTCTCCGTGTTTTCTCTCTTGCTACAAGTGAACAGTTTTCCATCTGTATTTTAATGCTCTTCACATCTACTTTTAGAGGAAGCCCCCTCACTCACTACCTGTTTAAAACTCAGAGCATTGCATTCCCTGAGCACCTTCTTGTTTTGGAAATGCTGTCTCCATATTGGTTTTTTTCTTTACAGTCAGTATTCTGCGATCACTTCTTCTATTTCCCTCCAGAAATTATGTAGCACATGAGATAGGTAACGATACATTCTCTTAAACATATTACAGAAATTTAAACTTTCATCCTCTTGTTTTCCTCTTCTCTCCCTTCTTACTTCCCTCCTGTCTTTTAATTGCTATCTGCTTTCACACAAGCATATCTGTGATGTGGGACTTAGCAAGATGTAGAAATTTTTTGGCCTTCCAAACAGAGCTTTATGCAGACCTAGCTGAGGAATAAAACAGTAATTATGTCTGAATTAACGTGACCAATTACAATAAAGCTACCTAGCAAGAGTTTGGGATTTTAATATTCAAACAACAAGTCATGTGTAGTTGTAATCTTTTTTTATTATATGTGATGTGGAAGAACAAATAAAATAAAGATGCTGCTACTTCTCTGTGGACTTTGTGTGAAGAAGAAAACCAAGAAAAATAACTGTGTATATCCATGAACCGTTATAATTTGTTTTAAGCCTAATTATACAGAGCCTGGTTGTTTAAAAACAACAACAACAAACAACCATGCAGTGTCAGATCAGCTCACTAAACTTGTCAGTCATTACACCTGATTTGAAATTCTGACTGCAGCAATGGCATTATCACTTTATTCTGCATATGACGTTATTATCACTCTTTACTGTTGTTGCAGTACCAATGAACACTCTTACTGGAACAGCACTGTACAAAAAGGTGTTTATAGATACTGTACAGAGACGTAAGATAATCCTTGGACTCAAATAATTTAGAAGCTGCTTTAAAAATAAAGCAAGAACTTAGCCATGAGGGAAAGAAGCAAGTATTTTAAACATTACCCAGATGTAAGAACCCTTATCATACAACTAGTTTTCTCATTTATTTTTTTTATCTGAAGTCAGAATACAGAACATTGTAACCAAAGTGATTCTTAGGATACCAGATATTGAGAGAATGCCTAGATGAAATTTAAAATTGTAACTAAAATAAGCAAATGACATAGACTTACTGTTACTTTATTCTAAAGCTATCTTACAGATTCACATGGGATAGCTCCCTTGGGCTGTAACTGCTTAGCTATGAAGTTAACAAAACGTATTAATTGAAATTAACTCCACTGACCAAAGCATGCTACGATTGCAAGTTGTTGTGGAGTACTGATGAAGATTCCCCATAAAATATTGTCTTAATGATTTTATTATTAACTTCGTCACTGGCAATTACCAGATTAAGAAGGTTCATGATACTCTTGATCACTGGGGCAATAATATGCATTATTAGGTTCAATGAAGAATGTTTACCCAAGTTACTTACATGTTCTAAATTTCAGTGTTAATTATTGGAATGAAACAGCAGCAGTGACACTTGGCTGACAGACAGTAATGGATTTGTCAGGGGTCATGTGCTGTGACTCAGCCAGGTGAGCAGTGGGCATTACAACATCTGTGTTTTCTGTGTGGCACATTTTCCTCATTTCTCTGCTCCTTACCCATCTTGCAAGTAGATTTCAGAAGAAGTCACATGTCTATTAACATCACCTTTTCTGCTACTTTTTGTTTGAAAGTATATAGTGAGCTAGGCAGTGTTTTTTATACCTGTAAAGTAGGACTGAATCTGCCACCTGCCATCAGTCAGAAGTACCCTGTGATTAACAGTGCTGTATTATAATAATATTCTATTTCATTCTGAACATATTTCATTTATTCAGTTCACACAATTTTTAGATCATCCTTCATAAGCAGTATTGTAGCATGTGAATACAAGCTATAACCTAACTGAGCAATGTAACTCGCATAACTAAGCAAAATTGAGTAATTAATCTTTCTGAATATTTATATTTTGCAAACCACTATGACTTCTTAGTTCCAGTTCTAGACTGAGGGCATAAACCTGGCTGTATATGCGGGAGTGATGCTAAAGAATCCCAGAGGATCAAGGTGCAGTTGGAAAGATACAGTACCTTGAACTTCCAGGTTTTTTCTTTGAGGTTGAAACTATGCTTTGCAATATCTTCATCTTACTGACGCTGCAACTTGTATATCTATGACAACGTATGCAAAACTAGCAGTGGGCATTGGTATGAATAAAAATTTAAATGTATTCTGACAGCAGCACAGTTGCCAGTTCTATAAAGCAATCATAAGAATCTAAATGAACAGAAGCTGCTGAACATGAAGTCTTCTTGTACTCATTAAATGCATTATTTGTCCTTCCATACTGGGAGCAATAAATAAAAGTGTTCTGAAAGATAATTTGCAACCATGCAATTAATCATAAATCTAGCTTGATCTGGTTGTATAAAGCAGTGTTTTATCAATCTGGTTAGCCAGCACTTTGAATGGATTTTGTGGAACTCGCTAGTTCAGGAATATTAGGGCAGGTGCCTCATTTTATTTTATTTTTTTAAGAGAAGTTACCATGATCCCCAAATGGATAAGCTGGAAGGTCAAAGGCAAAATGATTTATCCCGAGGAGCTGTATGTATTACTGTTAAAAAGGTTCTGAAATCCTATCCTACAATTCATTCCTAAAAGAAATTACCAGGTTTTGAAGATGGTAAATCAGAAGCAACCAAACCACTGCAGCTTGTTTGTCTCTTAGAAGGAAGATTAATCTTAATGTAAAGACTTCTGGACTTTTGAGCTGTTTTTACTTACCTGAGGGAGTCATTCCAAAACAATAAGCATTCTTTCTGTTCTGTTTCTGTTTGGCTTGTTTGTTTGCTTGTTTTCTGTTCTGTTTTTTTGTTTGTTTGTTTGTTGTTCATCCTGATTCACTGTGAATTCACTCAGGGGGCTTCTTTAGGAACCAAGTGATCTTCCTCTGTTGAATGCATCATTAGGAACTAGTTTCTTTTCTTCTTTGGGTGGAAATAAGTTCACTGAAGTATGTCTTCAGTTCAGCCTCAGGAGACACAGAAATTACTCCTCTGGGTTAGCAAGGCTGGGGTTTTTCTTTTTGAAAGAGGAGGTTGATGTGACTCCCTTGATATTCTGAGTGCTGCCAGGCTAACACATCTGAATCCATAGGCTGTTCTGCTTTGTTACATGATGTGTAACTCTCAAAGAGATTTTAGATTTGTCATTAGTTCATGCTGAGGCATTAGGTAATTGCTATGTGAATGTGAAACAATGAGGCTGAAAAACTACTGAAGAATTAAATAAACTAAAACTCCAATTATTTTAGTATGCTTGAGGTTGCAGGGACAATAAAAATATTAGTCTTGAGACAAGATGAAGCCAACCTACAAGTGAATGTAATTCATATTGCGTATTCTCATGGCAAAGTTTTACCCTAAAGAGGCTTCTAGCAACTGTCAAGTTTTATCCACAGAATGGCCCAACAATGTTTTTCTTTACAGAATGAAGGCTGTGCAGTTTGAAATGGGAAACAAATAATGTGTTCCATTTATTTTTGTTTTTAAGAGCATGCTCAGAGTTAACAGAATGAAGTTTACAACTTTGAGGACTTTGTAACGTGCTTATAGTGAACACTGCAGCATGGACATCAGAGACCTTCGAGAAATCGATAGTTATCGGTGAGGAAAGGCATTATGCTCATGGTAATTACTAGGAGGCTTGTGATGGCTTGTTTTGATTCTGACCTTGATTCTACATGTGGGAAGATGATGGCAGCTAATTCTGGTTTCTAGAAACGTTATTGTTTAGTGTCAGTAAAGAACAGAGAGGGCCACATTGCAAAGAGCTTGTTATGCTTGTATCTCAAGAATTAGGAGTTTACATTGTTGGGCAATTAAAGGCAATGTTTTTAACAAAACAATTCTGTCCTTTAAAAGTTTTCTGAAGAGTTTTGCACTGCTTTATCTGTGAATATACAAGGGTAGTCAAATGCAGAGAGGATCTCACCTGATTTCAAGTGCTGTAGAAAGCAGAGAGAAGAAAGCTTTCTGATGCTCCTTGGTCCTTAGCCAGCAAGCCCTAGGAGAAATTAGCATGGGTGTTAAGTAGCCCTCATTTATGGAGCTGGGAAAAGGTTACTCAGATGTTTCAGCAGCAGAAGTCCCACATTAACCTGATCCTATCTTCTGAAATACCTTTTCCTTTAAGTGTACTTCCTCTCTATTTGTCACTGAGGCAGGTTTGAGGATGGTTAGAGCAAGAAGTAGCACATCACTGTGTTGTCATTTGTGCTCCTGGTGAGCTATCCAAATAAAGGCATTTATGAAGGAGAACTCTAAGGAGCTCTTTAGAGAGCTTGATTTAATTGAGTATGGAAATTAAAAGTAGGTGCATGGCTGCCCATCACACTATGGTTCCCCAGGTCAGTGAACTGTGGTCTCTTTACTGAACTGTTTGTGAGTGGCTGTGTGTACAAAGAAGTCCTTAGTAGTTTGTTTGTTTCCTGAATCAGAGCAGTTGCTCAAATAGCCCAACTTTCACGAAGGAAGATTTGATGAAGAGTGCAGCTGGGATGTGGTTTGTTCAAAGAAACTCCATCCATCATTTCCCAAAAGGCACAATGAATAGCTTAATTGTTATTGCTAATGACTGTTAGCACTTTATTTGCTATAGACAAAGTACGAGCCAACTCAGAGCAATACTGTGATAGGCATTTTTCCACGTCTTTTCTACCAGGAGATCCAGAGCTGTCAAACATAATTCTGAGCAAGGAAAGGAACACTAAGGGAATACTGTTAGTACAATATGCAAAATAAAATAAATAGTGTTCTGTGCTGGGGAAAATTTACAAGGGAAATAAGTAAAGACACTGCTTTTTGAAAGAGCCACCCATAGGAATACTTATCCTCAAATCAAAGTGTCTCTTTCCTTAGTGTCTTGCTGGTTTAGTTTGGCTGCTTCTGCTGAAGTGGATTCGGTGAGCACTGTTTAGTTTCCTTCTCTGCTGCAAGGCTTACACTGAAGGCCATTTATGGTGTAACCCTGTATAAATTTCAATGCAGTTCTAACATCTCTAGAGGACTTCAGAGAATGTCAGGATTTTTTTTTCTTTTTGGATCAAATTTTCTACCTGAATGGGATTTATATTTTATATATTTACATATCTCATATCATACAGCCTCCTCTTACTATCTGATTGACTTATCATTTTTTGCTATCTTTAACCTATCCTTAATATTACAAAGAAATATTGGTTTAAAATAATTACATTAATTCAAACATTTGCTAAGTTTTAGCAATTACCAATGCCTCTTTCTGTGAGTCTCTTTTTGCTTGAATCAGTGAGCCACTAAGAGCAAACAATAACCAGTTCAGAGCAAGAATCCTCCTTTAACTATGCCACATGGCTGATCTTGACAAGCATGCGGAAAAGTACAAGAGAAATTGTCAAGACCTGCTGTTTGCCCAGACACTCAGAACCAGGCAATATTGCCTCACTACAGATTTTGTTCCTTGCGTGCATACAGACTGCAGTGTGCAAACTACAATCTAATCCCTGTCATAGACAGAGACACAAAAGCCCTGGCAGGGCACTGGTCTGCCATCAGCTGAAACTGTTTTAGGAGAAATCAGGGAGTCCAAGCTCAAGGAATGCAGCAGAACAATCATTACTAATAGAGCAATAAGGCAACCAAATGTTGAAAGAAGTATTTTATTAACATGTTTTTCTAATGGCAGGTAAAAAAAACCCCACAGAACTACAAGCAGATTCTGGTAACAGTGATTTCGTATTACTATAAAATTATCATAATGACGCTGGATCTATACTACAGAGACTTTTAGTCTTTTTCTGCTTTCAGAAAACCTTTACTTAGATAGCATTGGTATTGTTCTAGCATAGTTGTTTTTCTTTTAGTTGCTAAAGGTAGAACACATAATATCCCCAACCACTGTGCTGGTCCCCCAATAATTCAAAACACTTTAAGTTCCTTCCCCCAAATAACGTTAGCAAGAAATCTGTGTAGATATATTTCTTTGCAAATAAAAAGCTACTAAGCTGATTTTATAGTCATACTGAATGAAAAGTTGAAATCATCATGTTTAATTCTCAGTCATGTTCTCTGTACTTCCATAGTAATTACAAGTATGTTTCTATTTGGATTTTTCCCCCTAACTTATAGTTGCTTTATCCAGATGCATTTTCATACAACCATTTTCTTAAGGAGATTGTTTTAAATGCTTGTAGAATTCTAACACAATACGTATTTCTGGAGCATTATATCATTCCATGGATTTCTCTTCCTGTGAAATCAGTGAGTCTGTATGAAATGGGTGTTCTTCCAATATGTGTTAGTTTGGCAGTTCTGGTTGAATCTTTCCAACCATATGGGAATTATTGATAGCATTGGTGCTTTCGTTCTGCACTTATCCATTTGTCTCTAGACTTTTTTGTTACTTTTGTCTTTAATAAGAGCCTTTATATACTCAGTCTGCTAATGTTGTCTGCTATCCATTTTCACCATGGTTCTTACATGTATGATTGACAGAGCTCTCTTGGAGTATTTTGATTTTCACTTTTTTTTTTATTAGGCTGCTGCAGTTATTATACAGTATAATTAAATCCAGACATGAGGGCAGCTTGGTCATGACTGCATGACAGCTTTAGCCATATGCTACTTGGATCAGGGACTTCTATGTTTTAACTGAATTCTCCTGCCTGGATGAAGTGTTTAATGTCTCCTGATAATAAGCTCTTCCCTATTCCTGCTGTTCAAACCCCTGTAACAGAGATCTGCTTGCAGACTAGTATGGCTCTGTTTTTATAAGGAACAAGGTGATCACAAGGAATCTGACTTAAAACACGGGGAAGTTATCAAAAATTCCCTCTTACTGTCCATTTATATGAGGATGCTTTTGTGCTTGCTTACAGTCTTCTGTAGGTGTAAACTGCCACCTTTTGAAGCTATCTTTAAAAGCATTTGTTCATTCGTATGGATGATTCTGACTTTTGTTGTGCCTCTGCAGTTCCATTCCAAATATTTAATTATTAAATTGTTTCCACATGCTAAGTAACTAACACTTTCTCTAGGCTTGCTAGGTAGAAAAGCAATGCAGATGTAAACTGGGTGTCACATTTTCTTGGTATCTCACTCACCATTCAGCACCTTGACAGCTTGCATAAAACAGAGGGGTAGTGTCATTCATTCAAGGAGAGAGAAACTGCTGATTTATGCTGAGAGTGGGAAGGGATGAGGGGGACGTGTCACTTCTGCACTGTGAGGTGCAGACCACTCTGGCCATTATTCACAGTATGTGTGAGGGGAGTTAATTCTTTTTAGTTCCTGGCTAAATCCCTGACTGACCTCACTGATGTGAGACCAAAATCAGCAGGAGTTCTCATATGCTTGAAAGGAAGGCACATATTAAAGCACTTTCCTTGAAACAAGATCACTGATTGCTAATTGAGAATTTTTCCTGTGATGGGCAAATATCTCCTTTTCTCTGAGCATTCTTTGGACTTGTTTGCAAAGGTTTGGTCCTGTGCCAAACAAGTGAGTGGGATATTTATGGCAAAGCTCACAGTGAACAGGAAGACACTGCTTTCTTGAAATGAATCTTCTAATTTTTTGTATCTATTTGTTGTTCACTAGCAAGGATTTCACAGAGAGTGCTTCTGAATATTTTCCCCAAGTTTCCCTAAGTAAGCAGGGACATCTCTACCCAGAAAAGCATGAGGAAAAAGTTCACTTTATAAAGGCCATATCTAGTAAGGGAGATGGCATATTTTTTCAAATCGCTTTTTCTGTTCCAAAGATACTGGTTGCAGTGTTTACCCTGTTATCCAGAAAAGCATTCCTTGGAGATAAATTTTCTTGTGTTATTTTAAATTAGGGTGGATGTATGTGCTGCTAGTGTTAGTGGCTCCTTTTGGAAGTACCTGACACTCCAAATGTAGGTCTGACCCAAAGGCAAAGCATTTGTCCTTATGGAGTATATTTGTGAACTCTAACACTGATCATAGCTATGGGTTGTTTCAGCATGTGAGAATCAAGTGTTGTTTCTGCATTAGAATTGTATAATGTTATTTTTGTTTTATGATCTCCGCTGTCGTGGTTCTTTTTGGGAGTCCTTCTACTTAGCCTGGGGAGGATCTCTAATAAGTTTAGATTACTTATTGTATAGACGAACCTTCCCAGGAACGCACACTCTGTATATATGTATATTTTGTCATACACACTGCAAGAATATCCTGCAGGAGAGCAAACAAGGGAACAAGCTATGGCATGCCTAGGAAGCGCCTGACATTGGGAAGGCCTGACATCATTCCCCAGTGCTCTTTGTTTAACGATGATGACTTTAAAGAAAATCACCATATCAATGGGACAAGGAGAGCACCGAGACATCTTGGATGCTGTCATGTTGTGTCCATAGGCGCGCTCCTACTTGTGGGACGCCCGCCATTGCAATCGCGAATAAATTTTGCTTTTATCAGAGATACCGTCCTGACAAAATTACTTGGATATTTCCAACAAGCAGCCTTTGCAAAATCCCACTAGAAGTAGATGTATTGTGCTGTGTCGAGATTCACTCAGAGAATTTAACAGAGAAGTGGCTGTAGTGTAGTACAGCACCGCTCAAAGGAGTTCCTAGCCACATGGGGTACAGGAGAGGTTCCTTTAGGGCACCATGGTCTCCATGTCAGGCTAATTTACTTTGCATGCATAGTGTCAACAACAGCAGACAGCTATTTTAGAGCTAGTTTTGGTATTTCTTGCTACTGTTGGAAATATCCAAGTAATTTTGTCAGGACGGTATCTCTGATAAAAGGAGATTTTATTCACGATTGCAATGGCGGGTGTGGCCTTTATACCCTGTTTTCTCCCCTTGCCTCCCCCATTTCCCTTGTTTCCCCACTGGCTGCTACTCCAGGTTCACAATCTTACAGAAGGTTTACATTTGCTATTTACTTGTTAATTTATCTTTTACCTGCTGTCAGTCTGCAGCCGTCCTGTTGTTTCCAAGCTGTCTTGGTGCTCTCCTTGCCGTATTGATATGGTGATTTTCTTTAAAGTCTTCGTTAAGCAAAGAGCACTGGGGATGATGCCAGGCCTTCCGATGTCTCTTCAGGCGCTTCCTCGGGCAGGCCATCCCTTGTTCTCTGGTTTGCTCTCGTGCAGGATATTCCTGCAGTGTGTATGACAAAATGTGCATCTATACACCTATATACAGAGTGTGCGTGCCTGGGAAGTTTTGTCTGGAGGATCAGTGATGTAAACTATCAGAGAGCTTCCCCGGGTTAAGTAGAAGGACTCCCAAAAAGAACTATGATAGCGGAGATCATGAAATAAAAAATATATATATTATCCAATTCTAATGCAGAAACATCATTTGATTCCCACACTACTAGTAACAGTGAAGTCTACACATGCCTTGACGCTAAAAAACTCTGATTAGCAGACTACTAGGTGAGATGGGAAACTGAGGACCATGCCCTGCAAGTAGGATAGAACACATCTGAATGGCAAATAAAAGGCCCACACTAAGAGTAGTTTGTATTCAAAATGCCTTCTCCAAGCTCTGTGAACCACCTCTTGAATTCAGGGAGAGAAAACAGGGAGAGAACTTGCATAAGAGGGAGAGTAAGCCTGCATATTTTCTGTGCTCTATGTCCCCAGAGTTAATCATTATCCCCACTGCATGCATTTTTGGATGCACCTTTTTTTTTTTTTTTTTTTTTTTTTTTTTTTTTTTTTTGTATATTTGTGTTATGTTTGGAATGAGTGACCTCAGATGTGTCAGGAAAGTAGAAACAAAATTTACAAAAAAAACTGCATCAGTTGAACTGAATGGAGAAAAAAAATCCTGGCTTACTCTCCCTTTTTCTTTCTCTGCACCTTGACTTGTCCAACAGTATTTAATTGGCGTTCCAGTCAATCAAAGTCCACATTGAAAGTGTTCTATTTTCCAGCCTACTCCTTTTGGAAATAAAATCTTGCTAACATAGTTGCCTGTGTTTATCAGCTCTACAAAGACGACTTTCCTAAATCAGTGTTGGAAACAGTAACAGTTCATATGTCCAATACACCTTCAGTGAGTGTTTCAAAGGGCTGTAAATGTATCCACAAAGTAGTTCCATTAAATAGGTAAGACATACTATTGCCACTTCACATAGGGATATAAAAGTTACATCCCTAGTCCACAGCTAGCTATGACACCAGGGATAGTCAAATAGGATAGAAATTATCAGGCAGCTGTTGTACTTCAACTATTCTACCTTGTTTCTCTCCATACTGCTTCTACTGCTATGGTATTTTTTTTCTAACATTATAGTTTTATAGTAGTATGCTGCATTTTTGCTGCTGTGGTGGAGATAAGCAGGTCTCTGAGTGCTGTGCACCATTGTTTCCACTATTAAGTTCTGGATGGTTATCTCTAACTTGATCCTTGGTGTGGCATTACTGATGAGCATGGAGGATGCATGACAAGCCTTGAAGATATACAGACTCTGAATGGGAAGCTGGCAGAATAGGGGACATCCCATTAAGACTTCAGTGGTGTTGGAAGGAGAGTAGTTGCAAGTCTGATCTTTCTGGGTAGAGAGCCATGAAGAGAGAGGTGCACACAGCAGTTGATTCACCAAAGCATTTGGAGCACAAGGATATTTCCTGTAGTGAGACGTCACCTCCAGAGGCTAGACAAATCTGGAGATTCTTTTCTGGTATTTGCTTGTGCAACGGGGCATTTGTGTGCACGAGGCACCACAGAAGGGTTAAAGAGCTCCGCAGTTTGTCCCTTGCTCTCTAATTAGAAAATGGTCCAGGAGCGTAAAGTTCAACACGCACATGATCTGAGCTGGGACTAAACCCAAGTTCTCAATTGATTGCAGCCTTGTGTGTTAGTGTGCTGCATTTGCACACCATCTCTTCTCCTTGCCATTTCTACAATTCCTTTTCCTTTTTATAAAAGAAAAAATGGAACAATTTGTGTACAGAGTTTCACTTTTGTCACTATCTAAAGTATTCTGTTGCTTGAGCTTGTGTGCTTTCTGGGAATAGCTTGTTGACCCACTTTATGATTGAAACCAGGCCAGTAAAACATGACAAAAAATCTTCTCGCTCCACTCTATTCTGTAGTGTCTTGGCTACTGCTGGGTAAACTTGAGAAGTCTGCTTCCAGAGGAGGCGTGCAAACTGGCCAGCCTGAGCCTCAGGGGAGCGGAAGTTTCTGGTTGGCCTCCCAAAGGCCAAGAGGGGCAGGCAAAATGATGTCCAGCTGGGACAGTGTTTGGAGAAGAAAGACAGAGGGTGAGATTAGGGAAAGTGAAATAAAATAGTTTTACTGAGCAAAGTATGTGCAGTAGAAGCCAGATGCAAAGATAGCCAGAGAAAAGGTGATAAATTCAGAATGTTACTCTGTGCAGCCTGTAACATAGGGAGTGGGCAAAGTTCAGTTCTGATGATTCATAATCCAAATGCTTTGCTTTCAGATGCAGAAAACTTACATATTTTCCTTTTTGGCCCATCGGAATCTTCTTTCTATTTTTTTTTCCTAGAAAATGAATTTTTTTTTTGTATGTTTTCAGAAACTTGCATTTAACTAAAATAGAACCTCTATTTGAAAACATTTTGCTAAAAGATTTTAGTGCTCACTGGAGAACAAGCAAGTGTTCTCAAGAGCTTTGGGATCTTGTGTTCAAGAGTGCTGTGATGTTGCAGCTCATAGTTTTAGGTCCCACCCCAAAATGTTTCTGGGAGAATAGCCAGGTTTCTGCTAGTAGAAAAAGAAAATGGAGATTTTATCTCCAGCTCTTCACTTCTCCTGCTTCCAGCTACAGGATGATTTCTTTCATCTGCAGGATCTCACACTATTTGACATGGCGGACATGAGTCAGATCACTAATCTGTTTGAAAAATATATCCAGCAAGTAGAATTGTTTCTGTGAGCTGTCACACTGCTCCTGGAGAGGTACGGGAGGGAGGGGACAGGCCTGTGCAGCTGGGAACTGTGATGGTTGCCTCCAGAAGCCTCAGCCATAGCTGACACTTGGGCTTACTCCCTTGGCAGTGCTGGTAACAATTTTCCTGTGTCGTATAAGGACAAAGAAGCAGTTTCATCCTTAGCATAATTAAATGAGTGGAGTGACAGGAGTTATACCCAGAGTGACTTTGTTTAAATGTGCCTTTTCAACAAAGTTCACTAAATCAGCTCATTCTTGTTGTCTCTTTTGTTTCTTTATTTGTGGCTACACTGAATTAGCATCTTAAATAAATTGCCATGGGAATCAGAGATGCAATAGCTAGCTTTCTTTCTCTTGTCCATCTACAAACAGCCTTTTCATAGCAGTCTTTTCACAATTTCATGTACTTTGTTTGAGCACTTGATCTATCTCCATCAAGGCTTTTGGTACCCATTCTCTCAAGCAGCAAAAGATATGTAAAATATGGCATACAATTGATTGAAAATTTCTAGCACATATAATTTACATGTACTGATGGAACATCTTTCTGAAGTGACATGTAAAACATTTATTGCTCTTGACGTTCATTCTGATACGTTATTTCTATGTTTTGTGAGCTGTGGATTGTAGAAAAGAAAGATACCTTGATTTGACCAAGGAGGGTGTTCTGTGCATAGAAGACAAGGTGAGAAAAGGGAGCTTTGTAGGAAGGAAGAAGGCTGAAAAGGCAGGCCTTGTGATAAGGGGAGCAGTAGGAGTGGGTCAGTAAGAAAGGAGAAACTCTGAAAAGGCCTTGAAACTCTGGATGAGAAAGCTTTGCTTTCATGGGGTTGTAGGTAATGTGGATGGGATATGAAACAAAAGATGACCTCATGCTGAATTTTCAAGGGACAACAATGCAGGTGCATTGGGAACAAGATCAAATCCCAGTAATCAAAGTGACTAAAGTAATCAAACACTGTGATCACACAGTGGATCTGGGCAGAAATCTATGTACTGAAAATATGAGCGGAAAAGAGCTCTAATAAAATAATACTGTCAATATGGATAGCTTCGGGTTAACTAAGCAGTGGATCTGGATAACAGTACAGGCGCTGTAGATTGTATGACAGCTGGTGGAGCCATGCAAGTGCACTAAAATCTCAGCTATCATTGAGGAACAGGCCTCACTGTGAAGAAGAACTTGCAACTGTGACCCAAGCACATTGTGACATGACGATATGTGCCAGAACTCACGCACAGGCTGTCAGCAGGAGCCTGAGAGCTGCGATATGCCTTCCCATCCAAACAAGGTGCAAACTTCAGCATCTGCTTTTGCAAGGGTTTAGATCCTAGACTAAATTAGAGGGGAAGGGAAATGACTATAAAGACAGTAATTAATGTAACAGCCTGACTTAATTTGCTCCCTGAAAAGGAAATCAAAATTAGGAGCTGTTAAAGCAGTTATTACAGTATGCCTAGAACACATAGTAAGGACCAAATAGAAGCAGAAAGCTGAAAAATAGAATTGCACATTTACAAATTGTTACTATAAAACTGAAATGGGAGCCTGCACAGGTAAATAGTAAAAGCTGGATAAAAAAAATAACAGAAAGTAGCATGCCTTGGGAGTGCAAGAGAAGAATTAACCAGAAGGGTCAGGGAGAAAACAGTGAAAGCCAAGGAAGTGACATGGTATTTACGAAGGATTTTAACTATTTCCACAGCAGGAAAATTGCTCAAAGAGACGAAGGCTGAAGTACAAAGAACGATATTAATCCAGGAAGCTATTACAAGAGCGTTGATGAGACAGATTTTAGTAGCAGACAGGGCTCACAGCCAAATTAGAGGCATAAGAAAGTAGGACAGGGCAGGGATGAAATGAGATCAGCAGCTGTAAGCAGAGCATTCAATTAAACAGGAACAATTCAATTTAAGCAACAAAGGAGATAGGAGCTTGGAGAGACAGGTGGGTTCAGAAATGGCTGATTAAAGATCTGAAGGAGCTTAAGTTTCAGAGTGCTCACTTATGCAATAACTCTTCTGTCTCTTTGTTAAGTTCATCAAACTGACACAGAAAACTTTGCTTCTGTGCTACATTACCTTCCTTGAAATGATAGTGGGAGCATGAAGAGAGGAGACAGTAAATTGCTCTATCAGCTTAACTGTTTCACAAAATCTTGTGCTAATGCGCCCGGGTTGTGACTGTGCTCTCTGCGGGAGAACAGGAGTGAAAGACCAAGCAGGTAAGGCAGAGAGGAAAAGAAGCATCAGAGGGTATCAATAAGGGCTGGGAGGTGAGGTCCAGAGAGAGAGTCAGAGTAAGACTTGTGACAGACAACTGAGAAATGACAGCATCAGCAAACTAAGTGTTAGGAAGGATGAGAATACGAAAAGGGTGAAAAGAAGAAAAATCAGGGACTTCTAAAGTTAAACTTCTCTGCGGTGAATGTGAGCTGGACTTAATTCACAGTGTTTGTTTGTTTGACCTAAAAGAGACAATGCACGGGGATGCTTGTGGATTATCTAAAGGCAGTGGGCAGTAGTATAAATACACAGCAAATGTGTGGTTTTTTTCCTGAAATTCTTCGTCCTTCCGCCTTTGGCATTTTACTGCCCGACAGTAAGCTGTCGAGCACCAGTCCTTCTTAGCAGCCCCTTTTGTTCCTCCGCTTAAGAATGAAACACAGTATCTCGAGCGCCCAGAGGGTGAAGC